CTATCTATCTATCTATCTATCTATCTATCTATCTATCTATCTATCTATCTATCTATCTATCTATCTATCATCTATTAGACTTTTATGAGGGAAAGGGAGCTACCTCATTTCATAGCCTTACCATCTTTTTTATTATTTATGTTTTATTGATTTGACTATGATTTCTTTGTTTGATTGTTGCGAGATGCCCAGAGTTGTTGAGATTTGGGTGGCATATCAGTTCAATATGTTGTTAAATGAAATAATGTTTCCCCCAGAAGCTCACAACCTACACGCTACCCTGTTCTTCCATTTTATTTTTATTACAACATTGAGATATAGGAAAGGCTGAGATAATGGATGGGGAAAGAAGGCCTCCAATTTGGGGGCATATCTGACTTTCAAACTGATTGCCCCATCCTACTGTACCCTTAGCCTCAAAGTTCTGATGGTTGATGCCAGATGTATCTGTAGAACTACCATCTTCATGCACATCTGGTATTGAACTAGACAACTTGTGACCTGTTTCAGAGATATTTCCTTATTTAAATAAAAAAAAAAAGAATTGCCCAAAAAACAGTGGGAGTGATTCCTGCTATCTTCCCCATTGACTTTCCTTGTAGGAAGCTGGCAAGAAGTGCTGGAAATGACAATCATGTGACCATGATAACACTGAAGTGGTCACAACTTTGCCAAGTTTCAGTCCCATAAGGCTCGTGGGTTTTGGATTTTGGACATATACCGTTAATTAGTCCCTTGGAGCTAAATTGATTAAAAATTATTATCCTATGAGTTTTGTCATATTGGAGATTACAGACAATCAGAAAGACACAAGAGTTTTAGTAGATGAGGCAGTAGCCTTACCAAAATCCTCTTTGGGCATAGAAATAAACCACAAGAGACTCAGTTCTTATGACAATGGAAACCCAAAATGAAACAGATGAGTGTCGCTAATCATAATGAGCATCATACTTAATGAGAATTGAACTCAGCTTCTTGACTGACATAATTTACAATAGCTTTCCTCAAGTTAGCAGCCTCTACTTGTCCAGTATGGCCTCCAAGAATAATAAGGCAATTCTGATGATAAAATAAATGAGAATCATATATGCAGTTCTGAACATCATAAGAGTAAATCCAATAAGTGAAATGAAATAAGTAAAACAATGCAAATTATATCACACATAAACTTTAAAATCACCCAGCTTCCTATCAGATGCCACGTTTTCCCACTTAGAATGAGATATGTGTATGAATCAATCTTGAAATATCCATGTAGGTAACCCCTCCACCCCTCCAAGAAAACCCACAAATGTTGAATTTGCAAAGAGAAAGACACTCACCTTATCCTCAGTGTCACACTTGGAATCAGCTTTGCTTGGTGAAACCTTTTAAGAAAAAAATCATCCTTGAAATGTGCAGTTTTTAAGATCTGTTTTAAACCTTGTCATTGTCTTTGCTTTTAAAAATAAAGGGAATTAGGAGGACATAGATTTAAAATACAGAGATATAGACTAAAATAAAGAAGTTTCCAACTATATGTGAAGCAAAGTAATGATCTGGTAAAGCTACATTTTCCCCTCAAATAATCAAGTTGTACAGACATCTATCAGAAAATAAATTGGGGGTTTTTTTCCACAAAAAATTCATCAACACTAGATGAAAGAACAACTGCTGCTTGTGAGCAATAAACTCATTCATGTTTTTGGTTTCACACGTCATTTGTAAGGCCCAAGAACCAAGAATGACATATGGAGTTACTTCTGAGTAGTTTCTTTATTGTTAGTCATCTTTACCACCTAAAGCAACTGTATGTACAAAATGGATATACCCTGTGACCTGCGCTGGAGTGGCCATCTTAACTCTCTTCCTGCCTACAAAACTCTCCAAGCTGTGCTGCCTCTTTGACCTCTGGGAAACAACCCCTCCCTCCTGGGATTCCAGACTACATTCCACCACATCAGTGCAGTTATACATATTTTGTTAACTATTGTCCTGCTTTCAGTGAAAGAGAGAGAAAACAAAGAATCCACATTAATACTTAACAGCCTTGCTTAGCAGGATACGTAATTCTAGCTATTATCTTTTGGCTAACCACTATTGGAAAAAAACATTACCAGTCTTGATCAAATTTAGATTTCTTCCCGCAGTTATTTTATTTCCTTATAGTCTCTCCTTCAAACTACTTAATACATATGCAAAAGGAAATACTCCTCCCAAAAAGAAGCTTGTCTGAATTCATTTGATTTTTAACATTAATCTTAAGTGTCAGCCTTTATGCTGTTTAGAAGTTCTGTACAGATTGAACTTCATCAGCATTATTTTTGAATAAAAGTGCAGATTTTTTTACTCTTTCATAGATACAGCAATTTTTCATTGTGCCTAATTAAAAACCCTGCTCTTGAGAAAGTAAATTTATTTATTTATTTGACACATTTAAATGGCTGCCCAACTTACACACTCTGGGTGGCTTACAGCATAAACGTTCCACAATGTAAAAACCCTTAAACCCTCATCAGAATATATCTGATAATTTTGACTTGATCTTCCTAATTAATGAATAAAAAACACAACCTTTCACACTCAGTTAACTTATGTTCTTCTAGAACAGCCTTCTTCAATTTTACAACCTAAGTCGAAATATTTCTGGTTAAGATTACTCTTCCTGAAAACTAGGGGATCCCAGTCCCATATAACTGTTGGGTGCCAGTCTGGGAAAAGTTATTCTACAAATTCATTACTTCTTCTAAAACAGAAGTCTTGCTTTTCACATTTTCTAGCAAGTACAGCCGGCCACATTCTCTTCTCATCTTCCATACATGCTTTCACATTCAATCTTTGTGACAGTCACTTTTCTGCTGCTGTCATTTAAATTTTCCAGGAAGGAAGGAAGGAAGGAAGGAAGGAAGGAAGGAAGGAAGGAAGGAAAAGATTGATATCAAATTTCTGTAACAAATCATCTCAGTTAAATAGGGAAAATCCAATGACATCTTACCAGTGTTTTGAAGAAGCTCATGATGTTATTATCTGTCTTAGTTGCTGTATTAGTATTGTCTGTTTTTTTCTCTTCTTCGGTAAGATCCTCAGAGACCAAGCAATTGGAAACTGCTATATCCTGTTGCAGAGTGGTTTGGTTGCATTCATCTACTAAATCCTGCATCAAAAGAAAACATGTTTCTTTCAGATCCTGACTTATTGAATGCCAAACAGATTTGTAAAAGTAATCTGTTTGCCACTTGTATCATGTTGTTCTACAAAAGAGAGTTCCATCCATATTTCTTCAGCCTACATATCCAGAACAATTGGTCATTTATGTAGTCAGTGTCGAAAATATGCACGTTTGCTGTTGGTTGGAGGGACATTGTTCAGAATCACAGAGAACAACAAATGCAAGAAACAGGGTTGCATATGACCAAATACGGATCCTCATTCCAAGCAACTGAATATTAAATAATAATCTCCATATGATTGCAGTTTTGAACTCTGAATTCTGAGGATTGTATACTAGCACCCAGAGGTTTTTGGAAAGCTCAGTTTATAAAATTTGATTTGCTTAGCATTGCTTAAACCTAGCTAGAACTTTAACACTGATGAAGCATGGAAATGTTCTCTTGATGATTGTTTACATTTAAATAATTTCTGCAACTGTAAGGATTTTTGAAAAAAAAATTGTTCAAATCTTTGAGTTTGAATTAAATAGTAAAAACCACAAAAATGCCTTATATGGTGAAGACCAATGATAGTTTCTGGGATAACTAAGAGCCTAAGGAGCAAAACTAAATTCCAAACAATCTTGATAAGTCAAAAATGGTCTGAAATAATACCAGAATAGAGAAAATAACATAAATAGAATATAGAAGAGAGGTTTTCCTTTTTCTTTTCATGTCTTCAAGTCAGCGTTAACTCCAGGCAACTGCCTGGACTAATCCTTGTAGAATTGCTTTTCCCTTACCTCTTTCCTAGGGCTGAGGGAGAGTGGCTGGTCCAGCTGATTTTGTGTCTAAGGTGGAATCAGAACTCATGGTCTCCCAATTTCTAGCCTGTTGCCTTTAACCACTACACCAGACTGACTCAGCAGAGAGGATACTGGGCTTGAAATCGGACATGGAATTGAAGATCTTGGAATTGCAGTTTTACCCAAGCTGAATATGAGTCAGTTATATGACATGGCTGAGAACAAGATAAGTGTCAGGCATGAAAGACCAGATCTACATGTAAAGTACAATTAAGCAGATTTCTTGCTACAAACCAATGCACAGGAATCTTTTCAACACCTGGTTAGAAAAGGGTCAGCATTCAAGGTCATAAGGATTCTAGGCCATTCCTCCTTTTAACTCCATCCCCGAATTCTGCTATTCCTTCTCCTACAGCAAGTGCCATTTTAGGCAATATCAATGAAAGCATAGCTTCATATAGCAAAAGTGCTCAACTCTATTCTAGCTCTGTCAAGACCCCAACTTCAGTAGAGGTTTACAGAAAGAAAATTAGAGTATGAGTTTCTAATTGCTCAGTGTATTTTTCTGTATTGTATGGTAATCTTCGTCTCTCAGGAAACTGAATGTAGCACAATAACTATATGTTAGCAAGTATGTGCATTTGAATACTTGTGTGTGTATGCCTACCTCATCTTTCTTATTTATTCCACCTTGCTTTTCAACAATGCCAGAGATACTGATGTTGGAAGAAAATAAACATGTTTTCTTCTTTTCTTCTTTGCACAGATAAACAAAATAAAATACACTCAGAAACGGACACTCACAAAAGTTCAATTTTTACAACTGTTCTCTGCCCACCTACTCTCTTCTTTTTTGTTGCATACAAGCTCAACAATTCCTAATTAATTTCATACTTGCCCAGATTTTACAAATGATGAAAGCAGAACCATTGTCTAGTTATAACACTTTCTGTGTTCACGTGCATACACATAAGCAGAGAAAGAGAGAAAAACACAGGATTACCCAGATTGCTTGTCTGCTGTACTAATTTACTTGTAGAAAAGTTTCTAAAAGTTTAAAAAACTGGATCAGTTCAGAGCACATTCTTTAGATGGATGGGCCCTAGGATGCTTAAGTTTTAACAAATGCATATCCCACTTTTGGGGGGTTAAAAATAATCAAGAAGAATTACAACATGCAGAGATAATGTTTAAAAATACAATGAATGTACCGTGTGTCTCCGAAAATACAACCCTGTCTTATATATTTTTTGCCACCAAAAAAGGCACCAGGTCTTATTTTGGGGGGATGTCATCCACTGACTAACCTCACTTGCATGCCTCCGGCCTCCTTTTCACTGTCAAAGGCCTTCAGGAACTTTTTCTTCTGCAGCTGCAAGGCTTTCCTGAAGGCCTCCGATGATCTGGAGCTTTGTAATCAGCTATAGGTATTTTTTTTTCTCTTCCATTCAATCATGTTCAATTCTCAGAGATTGCCCTGGTGTATCCCTGCAGTACAAATAGTTTTCAACCTACAATTATTTGTTTAGTGACCATTCAAAGTTACAATGGCACTGAAAAAGGTGACTTAGGGCCATTTTTCACGCTTATGGTGGCTGCAGTACCTCACAGTCACGTGATCAAAATTCAGACGCTAGGCATCTGGCATTGTTTATGATGGCTGCAGTGTCCCAGGGTCATGTGATGATCTTTTGTAACCCTCTGACAAGCAAAGGTAAGGGGGAGGCCAAACGCACCGAACAACTGCGTTACTAACTGAACAACTGCAGTGATTCATTCAACAACTGTGGCAAGAAGCACCATAAAAGGGGGCAAAATTCACTTAACAAAATTCTACATAGCAACATATATTTGGGGCCATAAGTCAAGGACTACCTGTATTCTTGGCACTTCTTTTTTCAGAAGTGGTTCACCATTGCTCCTTCTTAGGACCGAGGAAGAATGACTGGCTCAAGATCACCCAGCTGACCTGTTTCTAGCCTGATGCCTTGGCCACTACACCAAAATGGCTCTCACCATAAGAGTGCAACTAATTGCTAAAATAATGTTCATTAAGTGAAGGAAAAATAGAAGTTAAAAAGATGCACCCATGAGAATAAAACAAAACAAAACAAATTAAAGGCAGTCACTTAATCAGCCCAAGTTCACATTTCTTAACAATCAAAAATCCTTCTTAAAAAAAAGCCACAGTACTATAAAAGAGCTATAAAATTCCCCTGGTAAACTTTCAAGCTAATTTCACAGGATGGTAGAATGTGGTCAAACCGTGGCTTGACGTGCCTAAGGTAGACAGCTGGTGAAAGGAGTAAATGGAAATATCCTCAGGTCAAGCTAGGGAATTGAGTGGTCCAGAGTTCACCAAAACGTTTCATTTTGTTTTAAAAAATTTGGAACAGACAAAAATGAAGAAATTATTTCATTTCATGCCTTATAACATATGTTTATTTCTCTTCATACCTTTTAATTAAAACTTAGGCAAGAAAATGCAACATTTGAACATCAAATGGATGATCTTATTTGTAATCTATGGGCATAGTGTAAAGGCCAATATTTAGTCACTTTGGTGATGGATGCTAGACATTGTAATTGTCAACAACCTTGTGTTACAAAATGATACACGAATTATGTATTATTTCTTATTTCACAGTGAACATATCAACAAAATATTGACAATCATATGGCATATATATTTTTAATTCTAGAGCTGCGGTGGTGCAGTGGTTAGAGTGCAGTACTGCAGATTACTTGTGCTGCCTGCCAGCTGCCTGCAATTTGGCAGTTCGAATCTCATCAGGCTCAAGATTGACTCAGCCTTACATCCTTCTGGATAAATGAGGACCCAGATTATTGGGGGAAATATGCTGTAAACTGATTAGAGAGTATAGTAAAGCACTATGATGCAGTATATAAGACTAGGTGTGATTGGGATTGCAATTGCAATAAGAGTTCTAATTAGGATTGCCCATGGTTAATAGATAAAAAGGCACCTCATCTAGCTTAGAGAGGTCTGTAAAGCACTGTGAAGCGGCATATAAGTCTCAGTGCTATTGCTATTGCTATTATGTTTATAGAGGAGGGGACCACAAAGGCAAACATGCCAAGGGCCTATACCACATACTGTGGCTCTGGGCAGGAATGTTCCCAGAAAGGCTTGATAAGCCCCACTCCCTTTTCTTTTGCATGTCCTGCATCATGACTTGACTGCAGAGTGATGCTTGCACAGTGACATCACTCTGCCTGCTGAAAGCAGATTTTGCTTGCTGTCAAAAAACAGGCCAGTCAGTGCAGCTGGTTTTATTACTGCAGTCAATTTTCATTTACTGACTATGGGCAGGCCAACTGCTATTGGCCTCTTTTTTGAGGGCAGAGAACAATGATTAAAAAAAAAAAGATCTGGGAATCAAGTCATGTCAAACAACTTCACGGGTTATAGTGCAAAGCAATAACGTTGAGACTTACTGGTATGTACTGCCCCATGGTGCTTTATGGCACTCTCTGGATGGTTTACAATATCATCATATTGACCCTAACGATCTATTTTATCAACCTTTGAAGGATGGAAGCTTGACTCAACCTTGAGCCCACATCAAGATTGAACTCCAGGCTGTGGGCTGAGTTAGCTTACAATACTGCATTCTAACCACTGCTCCATTAAGGCTTCATAATGGCAAACCTTACTTAGAATTCCTGGATTATATTTTGGAAATTTGGAAGCAATTAGGAAGCAATATCTTCAAACTAGAAAAAAAATGTAGGATCTTCCTTATAAAGCATATAACTTTCAAACCCGCCATAATTCATGTTAGTGCTTGTTGAAGTATGCACAGTATAGTATTAGGGTTTGCCTTTGTAAGTTTTTTAGCAGGATTATTTAGAGTCCACTAGGAGTCACATTTTAGGAAGGACACTGTGGTTCAGTGGCTAAGATGCTGAGCTTGTCAATCAAAAAGGTCGGCAGTTTGGTGATTTGAATCCCTAGCACTGCATAATGGAGTGAGTTCTTGTTACTTGTTCCAGCTTCTTCCAACCTAGCCATTCGAAAGCATGTAAAAATGCAAGTAGAAAAATAGGGACCACTCTGGTGGGAAGGTAACAATGATCTGTATGCCTTCAGCATTTAGTCATGCAGGCCACATGATCACAGAGACTAGTGGTGGGATTCAATTTTTTTTACTACCAGTTCTGTGGACATGGTTGGTGGGCATGGCATGGCTTGCTGGGTGCTTGGTGGGCATGGCAAGGGAAGGATACTGCAAAATCTCCATTCCCTCCCCACCCCACTAACCTGCTTTCCAGCTCTGTTCTCCTGTGCAGGACAACAAAACAAGACCCAGCCGATCAGCTGGGACTCTGATCAGCTGGGACTTGGGAGGCAGTGAATAGATGGGGGCGGGGCCAACCAGAAGTATTTACCGGCTCTCTGAACTACTCAAAATTTCCTCTACTGGTTCTCCAGAACTGGTCAGAACCTGCTGAATACCACCTCTGACGGAGATGTCTTCGGAAAGTGCTGGCTCTTCAGCTTTGTAACAGAGATGAGTACCATCCTATAGAGCCGGTAACAACTAGCATGTATGTGTAAAGGGAACCTTTATCTTTAGGAGTGACTTTGTAAATGCATTGTCATATGTGGTGACTATTTTTTGGTAGTAGAGTGCAACTTTCTTTTCCAATAGCACTTGTTTTTTTTTTTTAATGATGGCTTTTAAAAATCTTATTATCTATGGATTATTCAATATTTGGATTTTTCACTCATATAATACAATTCTTTATGCAATACTTGGCTGGGTGGGAGAGACCTCATAAAACCAAAGCAATAAGAATTTATTTAAAAAGCTATTCAGAACTACATTGTGTAGCTTATTCTACTCCATGGAGATCCTTTTCTCCATGACTTCCCTTTAACATAAATAATGGGTCACATACCATTACAAGGGGAACATGCAATTCAGTGGGATGGAAGTGGGCTGTGGACAGAGATTCTTGTTATAGATAAAATGTTACATGCATGGAATTATGGTGTAACAAAAGTCCTTTAATTTCATGAAAAAATGATAGATAGGGGATTTATTTTTAGGTTAGTATGCAAGGAGTTAAATGCTTCTATAAGAGTTAGTCAGTCGGTGTTTCAGTCAGTCTATGTCCTTCTCTCTCTCTCTCTCTCCCCCCCTCTCATTTTACAATCATAAAGTTAGCATAAATCAAGGCTATCCTCAAAGAAAAGTCAAGTGGATAGCCACAACTTTGCAATTTAAACCCAGCCTTTTTTGTTTTGTTTTGATGAACACTGATGCATGCATGCATGCATGCAAAAAAAAAAAAAAAAAAGACAAGGTTTTGATCATGCACTTTCAGCTGCCATTCCGACTGTTTTATCCTCTCCTCTCACCTGCAGTCACCTTGGTACAAATCCTAGCCTCGTAAGGTATAGACAAGGGGATTTATGAAAATGATCCCTTCTGCCAAGACCACATTCACATTCTCATGGCTGTGGCTAATAGTCCAAGCAATCCATTTACCTTGGCCTGAATAGTAACTGCTCTATCCAGGCTGTGAATCCTGCCCTTGTTTGAATTGTGCAGCTTCCTGAATGTAGTTTTGTGATGCTCGAAAAGAAAGCCGTGTTTCAACCAAACACAGAATGTCTGTCTATCTTCGGGACTCTGCCCTAAAATGGGAACGCCTCCCTCCTTTCCTCTTTCCAGTGGCACTGCTTGTTTGTTGGTATGTGAAAAAAAAAGCTTTGATGTGATTAATATAATTAATTTTCTCCTCAGAAACCTTGACTTATTTAAAGAGTGATTGGTACCCAAAGCAAAATTCAGACAATTATCATTCTATCTAATATTTTGACTTTCTGTACAAATATGCAGTCTATAAAATTGGGCTTCTTGCCATTAGCCCAGCCAAAGGAGTCCTTATTATATGAGGTTTGGCTTTTCCATCAGGCTTCTTCATCTAAATATAAAGCCCAACAAAACACAGATGAGAAGACACTAAGAGCTTCTTCTTCTTCTTCTTCTTCTTCTTCTTCTTCTTCTTCTTCTTCTTCTTCTTCTTCTTCTTCTTCTTCTTCTTCTTCTTCTTCTTCTTCTTCTTCTTCTTCTTCTTCTTCTTCTTCTTCTTCTTCTTCTTCTTCTTCTTCTTCTTCTTCTTCTTCTTCTTCTTCTTCTTCTTCTTCTTCTTCTTCTTCTTCTTCTTCTTCTTCTTCTTCTTCTCCTTCTTCTCCTCCTCCTCCTCCTCCTCCTCCTCCTCCTCCTCCTCCTCCTCGAAGATCAACTTCAGCTATCTGAACATGTGTATGCTACAACCTGCTGCTTTGAAATAAGAGCAGCATAGTAGCTTGATATCCCATTCCTGTTATTGTGGCTTGCATAGCAATCTTTCCAGGCATGAAAGTTTACAATATTTTTCCAAGCTTGGCACAAACAAAGATTCTCAGTGCTTCAGAATGTTCAGTATAGTGTATCTCAACCTTGCCAACTTGAAGTTGGGCAGACTTCAACTCCCAGAATTCCCTAACCAGCTCTGCTCTGGGAATTGAAGCCTGCCATCTTCCAGTTGGCAAGGTTGAGAAACACTGCATCTTAAGATGCCATCCTCTCCTAATGAAAACTTAACTTCAAGGAAGGCTTATTTGTTCTCTGTGAGAGTTCCTTAAGAATACAAATGACATTTTTTTGTCACAGATTAATTTAGCCAGATTGAGAGAAAGGAAAAGGATGAAGTTGCAAGAGTCAGAAGAACTGGTTATGAGAAAAGAAGAGTCAAGGAGCATAAAGCTGATGATGACATTGCTAGGATTTTGCTAAGCTATTTTGGAAACAATTCAGTGATGTTAAAACTACAATTGAGCATTATGAGAATAAGGTCTGGAGAGTTATAGTCTCAGTGACAAAGGACAGGGAACTGAATATCCTGCAATGTCCAGGATCAGCCCAGGATCTCCACCTCATCCTAGGAACATACCATTGAAATCAACAAAATGGACTAAGCTACTAGAGCATAAACTAGGTTCCTACATCGGACTAAGTATAATTTGCTGAACAAACCACAATTGGCTGGGCTCACTTTTTTTTTGTCTAACGGATGATGTAAAGCAATAAACCATTAGCTTGAACATTTTTTCTTACCATGATGTATGAATGCAGTCATGTAAGATGAGGAATATTTAATTCACAGGATAATCATTTCTTCTACAACATTGTTTATGCTGAAGTGGAGAGTAATTAGGATATTTCTTTTAAAAACCCTCTTTGTAACCCACTAAATCTTACTGAAGCAGCTAGGATTCCATATATTATTTTTTTAAAAGTTACTGAACCAATCACTCTGCACAGTGGTGGGATTTAGCCAGTTCACACCGCTTTGGGAGAACTGGTTGTTAACTTTCTGAGCAGTTTGGTGAACTGGTTGTTGGAAGAAATCATTAGGGCAGAGATTTGGTTGTTAAATTATTTGAATCCCACCACTGACTCTGCCTATTGACAGGGCTGGTCGCATTTATTTTTCTGCCTCAAGTATTGTTCCTTCTCACTAATCTGAAACTACTTTGTTTTTATTTATTTATGTATTTGCTTATTTACTTACATATTTACTTATTTATTTTTGTCAATTGCTTACAAGATAATAGGTATAAGTAAAAACATAGTTATGAATACATGGATACATATTAGAAAAATTAAAAAATAAAAGAAACAATAGGACAGGGACAATAGGCACGTTGGTGCGCTTATGCACACCCCCTATAGACCTCTTAGGAAAGGGGTAAGGTCAGTAGTAGACAGTCTAAGGTTAAAGTTTTTGGGGTTTGGGGTTTTCTCTAAGAACTTTTCACAATTGTAGTCAGAAATGAAACATTTTTTTAGTGTGTGCTTCTAACTGTTGCATTACTGACAGGAAGATTTAAAAAATAATTATAATTATAATTGAAAATTAATTTCTCAAAACAGAAATCCATTATTTGACAATACAGAACAGATTTTGACCTTCTGTAGGTAGATATCCTTTCAAGTATTTGAAAGATGCGATCGTGACTCTCTTGGCCTTCTTTTCTCAAGGCTGAATAATCCCAGGTTTCTCAATCTCTCCTCCTAAGGCTTAATTGCTCATTACCTGATCATTCTTATTGCTCTTCTTTGAACCTTAATTTTTTTTTTCTGAATCCCTAAACTGCAATGCACAGAACTAGGCTCCCTACTCAAAAAAAGAATTTTGAAGTATTACTTTCTGGGATTTGCAAATTACCCTTCATTTGATGTAGTTTAAAACTGCCCTTGTTTTTACTGCATCTATATTACTATTCAGTTTGCAATCAATTACAATCCCAAGATCTTTTTCACATCTTTTTAACCAAGCCAGGAACCCTTTTTCTCCCAGATCCATCTTGGGCTTGGGCAGATATTTTTCTATTACCTGAATATTATTTTTGCATTGGTCTCTACTTTTCTTTTTTCTTTTGCTATTTTAAGATCAATTATGTAAACTCTTAGGATATTCCTGATTTCCGCAGCATTAATTATCCCACCCAGTTCCAATTTCTATACTTGCCTTTCTCTGCGATTCATCATCTGAGGTGCTGTTTAATCCTGCAGGTTCCTCCGAGGAGATGCCTACACCTGGACAGCTGACGGTCACCTCCTGTTGATTTTGCTCCTGTTGTCTGCTCTTACGACTCCCTTTTTCCAATTTGAAGAGCCTGTCCAAAAAAGTTAATTCTTTGGACTTCGGTAAAGGGACATCCTCCTCTTTAGCTGGTGCAGAGAGTTTAATTTCAGTATGTGATGCTTCACTTAGGTTTTTATCAGAAGCTTTCTCTGTGGCAGCTGCGACTGAAAGCTCCCTGGTTTCACTTGATGCTTTGTTTGCTTGAGCTGCTTCTGAGCTGACATCAAGTTGAGCTGATCCAAGGGATGAATTTGTCGCCTGCGCTTCAGTACGTCCTGGTACAGACCGTGAAAATGCAAAGGCAAAACGAGATTTGGCAGCTGATGGAATAGGTTTGGCTTCTTTCCTGAGATTATTTCCACTGGCCTCGGAGTTGGAGCTTATCTCCATTGTTTCCTGGGAAGAAACAGCTGCATTGTCCAGGCCAACATTCACTCTTGCATCCACTACAAGAGCAAACAAGAAAACAGCAATTCTCCATCACAACAGGAAAGATGCACTATTAATCGTAGCTGCCTGCATCTTTAATGGACTGACTGTAAACTGAAAGGTCTAAACAAACAGTGTCCATGTTTCAATTCTCTTACCAAGTATTAAGTTTGGCCTAAGCAAAGAATTTGAATTACCCAAATCAACCATATGGTCACTGGTCCATTTATAAGGCCTGCCCTTTTGATGACATAGAGCTGTAGGATAAAATGAAAATTAAATTAGCAAATAATTGGCAGCCTTCTCTATTTCAGAACTGTCTGGGTCCTGTAAAAGTAAGGTTGCTGTTACTATTTTTTTAAGGAGATATATAT